ATAAGCAATTAGCAAAATCACAACGTTTAAATATATATTATTTAATGATAATAATATAATAATTTATTATATGATACATATAATTATATACATTTATATATCGAGTTCTTAAGTCTAATAATGTATAAATCAATATATACATTTATATATTCAATTTCCATACAACTAAGCCTGCTTATTCATATATAGTGATGGAAAAATCACTATATACGTTTACATATCCATTCCATGCAAATAAGGCGTATATATCATATATAATGATAGAAAAAATCGATATATAAATTATATATCCAATTCCCATACAAACCAAGGCCTAGCTATCACATATATAATGATGGAAAAAACAGTATATAAATCAGTGGATCTGTGGCTTAGGAATCTTATTGGATTCCTTTTACACAAGAACTGTCAAATGTTTGACGTTAATTCCTCACGAACTGGGAACAATTTGCATAGAGGCGCTGCATGCAATCGCCTCTATGAATCTAGAAATCTTATTGGATTCCTTTATACGCTTTTATATATAATAATGGCTTCTTTAGAAATACATATATACATTTATATATCGGTTTTTATATAGTAATTATAGTCCCAGTAATCCCCGTTTGTATATATGAGCCTAGATAAATAAGCATAATAATAAATAAATATAATAAGTATATGAGTATATACTTAATATACTCCCTTGTCGTTGAAGAACTGTCAAACGTTTTACGTCGGTGGCGACATCTAACACAGAACCATATGAACCCGGTAGTCACTACGTAGTTCCTTACGAATTTGGAACGATTTTGCATAGAGGCGCTGCATGTTTCGTACTTGCTACTAGTATTTTGACATTTGATGAGCTTGGCGCTTCTAATAGACAAATTAATATAGTGATTAATAATTAAAAAAGCTAGTGAAAATATGACTTTGAGTATTGGAAATGCATCAGGAATACCTGATAAAATTTGGCAACCTCCAATTGTTAGTTTAGAAACAACGTAATTCCATCAATAACATTGGATCTTTATAATACTATAACCTCAAACTGACTAATTCGTATTTATTTCAGTATGGGAGAAGTAACAATTGAATTATATTGGAAACATGCACCAAATACCTGTAGAAACTTTGCTGAACTCGTTCGTCGAGGTTATTACAACGATGTTAAGTTCCACAGAATTATTAAAGACTTTATGATCCAAGGTGGAGACCCCACTGCTACAGGCCGAGGAGGTTCATCAATTTATGGCCCAACTTTTCCAGATGAAATTCATCCAGAACTTAAACACACCGGTGCAGGAATTATTTCTATGGCAAATTCTGGTCCTGATACTAATGGCTCACAATTTTTTATCACATTGGCTCCAACACAGTGGTTGGATGGCAAACATACTATATTTGGAAGAGTGTACTCAGGAATGAATGTTGTTAAAAGGATAGGACTTGTGGAATGTGATAAAAATGATAGACCTTGTGATGATGTAAAAATACTGAAAGCGAGAATAATAAAAAATTGATTATTTTCATTATTTGTTTTATATTTTCTTGATACAACTACATAAACACTACTCTCTATACAACAGAAAACATTTATTTTCAAAAAAATATACATAAAAAACTTTCTAAATATTAAAGAATATGTGTATATATGCATAGTTAATGGTTTTCATTTATCATACATACTATATTAATCGCTTAATATTTTGATTAAATGCCAATTTATCTAAAATCAGATATAGAATGGCACTAATATTATATACTTAATAATATTATACGACTTTGGCATTTGGTACTTATAAACATTAAATTTTATACATTATACATTATTGGTCAATGATGTATAAAGGCACAAAATCTACCTCATGGTTGCATTAAATAATTCTTAATCTAATGTACCTTCAATAGAAACCTTAATCTTCAATTCATACTTGTTAAAATCAATATCGCTTGTCCATTGTTGTTAAGTACAATTTATAAATATAAACATATCCAAAATGGATTTGTAGTTAGATATGCAGAATTCTTCTAACAACTCAACTAATATAATTGAGCACTTCTAAAGTTTTATAAACTTTTAACAAGCAATACTTTAACAAATGTTTCTTTAAGAAGTAGTGTGACATACTATCATATTTAATTATTTCTAAAATAGCCACAATAAACCGTTAATATAATATATAAACACAGCCGTTTCACCCAAGTTGGACTAGATTTTACAAGATACGCATATTGTGTGACAATTCAATAGATAAGTATTTTATATTTCATAGCATTTAAAAATGGTTCCTAAAATTCATGTGCGATATATAATTTAATATTAGTTGTCATGTGCTTTCATCAATATTGATAGAATACTCATATGAATGATGCAGCGTGTGAATTTTTTGCTTCGTTACATCACTTGGGGCGAAACATTATTAATAAATTACAAAATAAATAAATAATATTTTTATATAAACAATATATGAATCTAATTCCTAGTTCTAAATATATACAATTTTCATGGTGCCTACAGACATGCACCAATGATCATTTTCACTACTTAATATTATTCTTAAGTTCTAAAACCATTTAATTCACAAAAAAATATGTGAATATTTTGTAAGGTAAATAAAACAGATCCACAACAACCAATATAGTTTTAGATATCAAACTCCAATCATCAAACTAATCATAGCTATCATTAATTATTGTTGATGATTGAAATTCTCTTATACATACTGACTAAATCCTTTCTAAACGCTGCAGCCAGGACTGCTAACATTATCAGTCTGGTTCCACCTGCATTGGTGGTAGGATTTTGTCGTTTCTGGTTCTGCTGTGCTTTGCAAACTTCCAGATGCCCTGAGACTTTGTTCCAATTCTAGAAGTTGTCCCATGAAATTTAAATTAGGCGAAATAATGGGTCTGCAGTTTTTGACTAGTTTATATGCCTCGATCATGCTCAGAGACTTGTAACGCATAACATAGGCGATTGCTATTGTTGCAGATCTAGAGACTCCTGCGTGGCAATGGAGCAACACCCGGCTGCCTGTTTTGCGTGCTTCCTCTGGAAAAGGGTAAAGGATACATTTATTATTTTGGACACATATGTATATATTAAAAATAAAGAGTAGAATTAAAACATGGGTTTTCAGAAAATGTTTCGTATACTCTCATGAGCACAATCTCAAAAGATACTCTACTTAGCACAATCATCAAAAGGGAAGGAAACTGAATTGGACCCAAGAAAGTGCCTCCTTCTACATGATGTAGTCAAAGGTAAAGTAAAAGGACTAAAAAGATTGGGAAGAAGAATAATGATATTAAAGATATCTATGAATTGGAAGGCAGTCAAGGTATTTTTTGAAAGTTTTGTAAATATAAATTAAATCAATTAATTAACAAAATAATTTTAAATGGTTTTAGGTATTTCATACAAAAACTAAAAGAGTAAGTACTAAGCATGATTTTTAGAGAAAACCTGAATAATTTTTATATAAATTTGAACCTTATAATTGAATTGAAGAGTACAAAATCTTCAGTAAAGTAAACGAAAAAAACGAGTTTTCATATTAATAAAAATTGTTGAAATCCGTTACTAGTGCAACTGTTTCAAGACTTACGCCAGCTCCTTAATTCAATTTACTTACAAATTAATTTAGGATGATATGCTTAATAATTACAATATCATTTAATACTCTGCTCTGGATTATTTAAACAGTTTCCATTAAATTTTTCAATAATATTTTACATACCAGAACACATAATTTAATCGCGCTCTAATAGCAATAACAGGCTTGTAGAAAGTCCGCGACAAAGAAATCAACTATGTACCTACTTTTCAACGCTCAACAGAACAACTGTGCCAATTTTGTTAGAAATATCTTCGGTAAGGCGGATACTATGACTTCATCATTAAAATGGTAAAAAATTGTCACGACAAAATAATTAATAATAGATTCAAGATTGAGTCGTGACGAACCAAGAAGGTTTTTAGTTTTTTAGAAAGAAGGATAATATAGTGTTGCCATAACAACGCTATGTTAGGAATTAGATACGTTCCATAATCAGGTTTTTGTGTAAAAAACCATTTTTTATGAAATAAGAATATTAACGATGATCATTACAAAATTTTAATTTTCCTTAAAAAATAAATTACATATAATATATACTAGAAAAAATATTTATGAATAGGTAATTGCTACGTTTCTGGCATGTAGGATGTGATGTTCTTAAGAATAAAACTAGTGGGTGCCTTAAGGCAAATTGCTGGAACTTCCTGTACCGTAATTAAAAATCTTGGTACGGAACCCAAAAAAAATTACACAAAATGTGTACACATTATGTAAATCTCTATAAAATATCTGATAATTTGATGCCGATAAGTCCAATAAACATTTTTGACCGACAAATGACATTTTTTTAACTTATATTGAGTGTCTATAACCGTTGGACCTGCCTTCCCAAAAATTTAATCAGTTCTTCATCTTGTCAATACAAGTAAAATGTTTGTTGGATGATTAAAATCGGACGCTCCGTTCTCTTAAAAACTGAGTCACCGTTTTTGGCACTTTTTGCACCGTATCTTCGGAACGGCTATACCTACCTTCACCAAAAACTAATCAGCACGTCTCCTTAATTATTGAAATTCTCTCCTCTTCGAATTATTGAAACCGTCTCCTTTTCGAATTATTGAAATCGGTTGAACCGGTTGAAATTTTGTATCTGCACACACACACACACATACACACACATACATTTTTTCCAAAGTATTCCAAAGTATTCAGAAACCTCTGAAACGTAAAGATATATAATTTTTTATAGTTAATAATTTTTTATTAATATAATTTAACTAATGAACACGTCTCCTTATTAATATGAATCAAATGTTTGTTGAATAATTGAAATCGATGAACGGTGTTCCCGAAATCGTCGACGAAAATTTGTATCCACACACACACACACACATACACACATACGCACACACATACATTATTTTTTTCTGAAGTATTCCAAAATGTTCAGAAACCTCTGGAACGTAAAGATATATGAAAAATTGTCATTTTCAATTTTTTTGTGATTACTATAACTTGCGGGAAGTTAAAAAATATTTATGAATAAGTAAGTGCTACGTTTCTGGCATATAGGATGTGCTGTTTTTAAGAGAGAAAAAAATATAAATAGGAAAACTGTATTGAATAATAGAGGCTTCAATTAACTTTATCCATCTAGAAAAACTTATTATATAGAGTCGACTATTTTATTCCGATCTTGCTATTTCTAGGCTAAACCATCCGTGTTTCTAGTTGATTTCTAGAACACCTTTTTAACACGCAAGTGCAAAAACCTTGGATAGCACTAATTCTTCTTCTTGGTTGGTTTGTTTATAAAGAAATCTTTTACCACCAACATCGATATTAGTCGTGCATTTGATTTGGCTGCAGTCACCTTATAGTATTATTATACAAGTAAGTATGAAGAGAGAGAGTATCGAACAAATACACGGCAAGCATGTAGAATAAGACCTTGCCCGGTCGCTAGCAAACGTCCTTTAGTGCGGAGTTAGCGACTGCTCTGAGGTGAGGATACTCCTCTATTACTTCGAACCATTCACAAAAGCGGTTATACACCATTCCATCACGAACAGGGCTTGGTAAGGGATAATAATAATAATATATCGATATAATAATAATTTGAGTTAAACAATTAATTTCAGCGACACGCTTCATTTTTTCAATAAATTTTGCTAATTATAATTCATAGAGTACTCAATTACTTAATACTTAATCAAGAAGATTGAGGAATTATTGATAGATCATCCTTATGGGCGCGCATCCTTAAGAGGCGCACAGGGGGGAGGCGCTGTTACCAAACTACTATTTTTGAAAACAAACCAAACTAGCTGTAAGTGGAATTCTGTCTTAAGGCAATTAAGGCATCGTGCCTTAAGGCAAATTGCTGGAACTTCCCGTACCGCAGTTCAAACTTCGAGTAGTTAAAAATAATCAATAATAATCAATAAAAGTTGATCAATGATTTAAAACTTTTAATAGAATTTCGAACCATATTACATCATTCTATCTTATATCATTTACTTTAAAATATTTTAGAAATTCTGAACTTTTTTTCAAAGCAATCGTACTGCTTTAACTGTATAAAGGCAAAATACCGAAGCGGGTAAGCGCCGCGTCGCCGTCTAACGCGTAAACATTGGTACGGAACCCATAGGAATGTAAACAAAATTTATACTTATTGTTAAAATCTTTATATAAATATCTGATAATTTGATGTGCATTAGACATAATGTTCATTTTGACCGCCAAATGGCATTTTGTTTTTACTTTATTTGTTAGATCTCCGAAACCGCTAGACCTGACTTCATGAAAATTTGATCAATTCTTCATCTCGTCAATACAAGTAAAATGATTTTTGAATTATTAAAATTGGACGCCCCCTTCTCTTAAAAACTGAGTTACCGTTTTTGGCACTTTTTGCCCCGAATCTTCGGAACGGCTAGACCTGCCTTCACCAAAGG